GTAATATAAAAACTAAACGCGAGATGATGACTTGACGTCGAGCAGACTGATGAGAAAGATTTAGTGACAATTACTATATTTCGCTCGTCGGAAATCGCTGCGCTTTTTCATTTTCGTTTTTACTCGTTTCGTTTTCCTCGCGAATGTTTCAACCAACACGCAAACGCTTTTGCCGCCCAGTCGATGAAGCGCGTGAACACTATGAAAGAACCGCCTCGTCCGTTCCGTAAATTTCTTAATTAACAAACGTCAACCGTTGTTCTCGAAACACCGTTGTATGAATCATCTACGCTTCCACGTACAAAACAAACGAGCAGGTTAATTTTTTCTTCGAGATGGCGTTTTACAACATCATATTACGATACAATACATTACGCATTATATTTAATTTTTTTTTTTTTTTCTGTTAATCGGTTACAAGCGTTGCAAGTTTAGGTCTTTCTTTCCTCGATGGTCAGCTGCTGACATTTTTAATTCTGTTTCGCGTGCGACATCCATCGTACTTAGTTTTGTACATGCCACGTACCGAGAGACGAAACAAACGAAATAAACGATAAACTAACATTTCGTGACTCCTATCTCGAAGTACCGTACGATTAGAGATAAAATAGTTACAAACGGTAGACGCTTAAATAAAAAAAAAAAATAAATTCATAACAAACGTTACGCGAAAATTGCTAATAAAAAAAAAAAAATCTTACACGATTATTTACGATAGCATCCCCGATTCGTCAGACGGAACGTGGCTTCTCTACGAGTAATTTGCTGCCTACTTCTTCTCAGCGACACATATAAACACCGTACAAGGTGGAAATAGGGCCTCTGTACGCACTGCCACTTGTACGAAAACAAAATTAACTAATCAGCTATTGAGTATTTTCGGATTTAAGATTTAACATTGAAATATGTGAGAATCGTTAAGTCTGGGAGAGAGGGACAAGCAAGGGAAATGATACACAGTCACGTCGGAAAGTAAGTTGCTCGTCCATTGATAAACAAAGCAAATAACGATAGTTTTTAATCAAACAATATTGGTCCTTCAATATCGCTTCATTAAAGAATTCACCGAGTTACAGAGCCAACGATTCCGAAGGAGCACGTCTCATCCTCGGAAAGTGAGTCATTCATTGATAAATAATCCATTCGTTGGTTAAATAATGGTAGTTTTAAATAAAACAATCGATAGTGATCCTTCAATATCGTCGACATTTGTTTCGACGAAAAATTCACCAATTTGCAGGGTCAACGACTCTGAAGAAGTTTCATCGTCAGATATTAAGATAATGAATAATTCTTGTTTAGTAGATGTCTGTTGCAATGTTTATTTCTACACTCGTTTTGAATGTCGCTAAAATTAAATCTGAAACGAATAATCATTGATATTTTAAGGGTAGAACGATCTACTGATTGCAAAAGACTTCGATAAATCGTTATAGGCTCAAAAGGCTATCGTACAGAGTATTAAGATAAAAAGATCAAGACGAACTCATTTTCCAACGCTATGATTATAGCCACGTTGCAATTTTGTTTTCCCTCTTCTTGATCATAAAATATTATGTTATCTCTGTACGATAATTCGTTGAATTGCTGCAAATATTCGTATACAAAAATCAAACATATTATCTGTAAACTTACTTTCGGACGCGACTGCCCGGCGAGCACAAATTTCTATCTTAAATTTCGCGTTTGGCGTACGTCCTTCGAAAAATAGATTTCGCATCGTCGGTAAATAAAGTTTTTGTTCGGTAAAGGGCGGGGGGTGGACATGGAACCAAACACGGAGGGAGATAAAATGAGGAACAGCGAATAGAAAATGCGGTTCGCGGGTAAAAAATGGCGAACGGCAAACGAAGGAAGAAGGTATGAATAGTTTCGAACGACTCGAGTCAGGAATGAATAAAATAAAAAAGAGAGCAGCGCACATTTCCGTACACGTACGAGTAAAAGGTCTTTTTTCTCGAGCGGTTTGGTTTTTTTTTTTCGTAGTATCTAAATATGATTTCAATAAATAAGCTACCTAGGGAGCGATTTCTTTTTGGGAGGATAGGGGTAGGCGCTCCTTGCGTGGCGAGCCAGCGAAAACGAACGTCCCGGGGACGGTTCCTCACGGCTTTAGTTTTCACGCCCTGACCGAGGACCCGGAGAAACAAATGAGAAATAAAGCTAGACGAACTGACTCCCGCGTGGCCGAGGAACGTTCACATCCCCGAGCGTCGTTTGTTCGTGATCGCCACCGCGTCCTATATTTGAGTTCCTAGCCTAGTAATACAGTCTGCGATAGCGTCCTAAGGATTAAGTTCATCAACGATCATATATAATATATTACACACACTCACACGCGTTCCGAGGTAAATACAATCGCACGCAAATATCCACGCAGACCACACACGCTCGTACACGGACACGCAGTTGTATGACAATGTTCTCGGGGACGTTGTGTCACTTTCATTCTCGTCAGAAAATAGACTTCTGTGTGATTATAACGCGCCACGCGGCAAAATCGCGATAGAAAGTAACCGTATTTTCAAGAACGCCTCGTATAAAATGCTCTGGAGATCTCGTTATTATTTATCTGGTTTCTAAAAATCGTTTTGAATAGGTTTACTAAAAATATACACGGTATCGTATCCTGCTTTCCGTGAAGGTGTATACCGATTTTTCTTTTCTTTCTTTTTTTGTCGAAAAGGAGCGTGGGAGAGGGGGTGGGGCCCGTTGGAAGTAACCGACAATGGGTTCTTTCACACGCCGTCCATACGCATGTCTTCAAACGCACGCACACGCACACAAAATTACACACACTCGCGTGTGTGTACAGGGTGTTTGTTTTATCTGGAAACGCGGAACATCTCGAAAAGGATTACAGGTACGAAAAATATGTTTTCGGGATCTTTTACGTCGGTGGTCGAGTTACGATAATTTTTTATATTATGATATTAGTTAATACGAATCCAATGAGGTATACTGGTAAATGTTTTTGGATATCAGAAGAGATATAGATACAGATTTGTTTTATAATTTTGTTTTGGTTATTCTTCTAAAGACACTGAAATACTGATTGAATCAAGCTTCCGTTTCGTAATGAGAATTTAAATTGAAATGAATAATTTATAGTATGATATTATGATATTTAAAAAAGTTCGTCTTCAATCAGAATTAGGGAGAGAATTTATAAACTTGAAAACATGAAAATAGAAACATATCGCGATGCAGGTTTCGAGAGGTAGACAACAAAATTGGTAGATCTAGGTGAAAAATATGATAAAAACCATTGTAAGTAGTACATTGTTGTATATTTTCAATGTGTTCAATCGTCGTGTGACTCGAGTTAAAAACCATATTTTTGGATTTACGAATACTTCTCAATTTCTAAAAAAAGTGTTTGACCTATACGGAAATTTGAAAGTTCTAAAATTCTAACGAAATCAGAAGGTTCCAAATGACCCATCTCGATACATGTAAAGAAGAAAAAATTTCAAGGTACACTGAAAATTGGATAATCGTTGCAACAAATGACAAAGTAACTAACTTTGATCCATTCCTCGATAGATCCAGTATCAAAATAAAAAACTAACTCGACCCTAAAATCTTGAAAATTTGTGTTAAGAACATTTTTCTCGTATCTTTTTAGTCTTTCCTCGGGCGTTTCGCGTTTCCGGATACGACTGGCCTTGTACAAATTAGATTTATTAGAAGGGTAAAAAGTTATTCGGCGTCTGGGGGTGAGGGGGGGGGGAGCAGTCGTTGATAAAATAGCATTTCTGAAACAACCGCACCTCGACCTTCGACGTCGACGCGACGGCGAGTAACTGCGTGTACGTCGCGAGCACGCACTTACGCACACATTTTTCAACAAACACACACGCCGGGCAGGCAAGCAGAAGGCGGACAGACGGGCACGCATGCACGCATACACGCTACATTAGGCGGCGTAATTAGCACAGCGAGCGAGAGAGTTTGCGCGACACGAGCTCTACTGCGCGAGCGCGCGGGAGAGTCGCGTTACAGCGCACGCCCACGCCGGAAATCTTGTTACCGTTTTTCGCGCGACAGGCAGAAACGCAAACCCGACACGCCGCGACCGCGAAATCGTCGCCACGGATCAGACGACGCCACGATCAAACCGCGAGATTTAAGTTCCATATTGAATTGTTCCAGAAAAAAATAAAGGAAATAAGAGAATTTTGTCTCCTTTCTCGAAATTTCGAAATTAATGTTCCGACGGTGCGCGCGCGCCGCTCTCGCGTCCTCTCCGCGCATCTATTGCGATTTGTGACAGCGTTTGAAGCACGACGGCTGTTCGATTGTGCAACGATTTAGGCCGATCGCGTGTGCAACGTTATATTTCCTTCCATCGCTAAACGATCGACAAGTATTACCAACGAATTTCACATTCTCTCGCAACCTCTGTCCCGCTTGTCTCCCGGTCTTCGAATCAGCTTCGAGCCTGATGGAGACCACGAGAACACGATCGATGGGGGCTTGTGAATATGGACGAAAAAAAAAAAGAAACAAAATGATCGATGACAAACGCTGAGTCGAATGGATAGAAAAAAAAAGAGAAAAAAAAAAACGTATGACATTTAGCGATGGGTACGAAAAAGGGGTACTTTTTACGATGTCGTCCGTACTTGCCTGAAAGGATTCAGTCGGGGCAAGTTGTGAAATAGAAATCTATCGACGCGCAACAAAAGTTTATATATCCGGTTAGACTATACCTTCCGTACGTTCGTACGCTCCTTCCGCGACTAAATTTCGTTGTTTACCTCTAACGAACATCGTCAGTTGGAAGAATGTACGCGAGCGAGCAGGAAACGTAAAGCGAGCCAGCTTTATTCGTTGCGATCAATCGAGGCGCGTGCTTCGGTGCCGCGTTTCAGGTGATGCCGCGTTGTGGATTCCTGACATCTCGACCGTACGTTCTACCAATGTATTTGGCAATCTGATCTCAGGTTCTCACAGGTATGGAGGAGGCAGTCTTGATCGGCGAGCCAATATGCGGCTCAATACTTACTGGTCTCGACGAACAAACGCCGTCTTCGCGGTACCGAGACCTTCTCGTCTTGGCGCATCTTCCAACGATTCGAATGCCGATAACGATGCGTCGTATGTATAATCTCCCTCGTATTGTCGACCTGCAACAGGGAGTTCTTTGTGGCCCTCATCACGGGCGACGGTTTCTTCGATCCAAAGTACGGATCCCGCGGATCCATTCCGCCCATGTCGGCGTTCACCAGGCTGTTGTGATGCTGGATGTCGGTGTGGGGATTGTACTTAATGAAGTTAAAACACTCTTGGCGACCGCGCGGATTCTTCATTGGCTTGCCAAACTTGTTGAACCCTAGAAACCGCGAACTGTTCTCCACGCTTCTGTACCTCAGATACGAACCGTTGTACTGCTCGTAGAACTGGCACCTGGGGCCCTTTTGCTTCTTAGGCTGCAATCAAACGTATACAGATTTTACTTAGTCCGTAGTCTACGAACTGATGAAGGTGTAAATGGCTAGACTTGAGATACGAATGTAGAATGATAGAGTGAATAAGTTTTTCCTTTGGAAGTATGCTCGCAAACGCTTCGTTTAGGAGATACAGCAATGATTCGTAAAATGAACGTCGCTCTGGGGTTGGCATGTTCATTTTTTATACAGCGATAGCGAACTTCACAGCGATATTATTGAGCCCCGGAGTCGCTTTTGGCCAGTTGGCGAGTTCAATTTACAAATCTGGGGTTCATTTTAAGAATCATCTCTGTATTGTCTTCTATATTTACAAGACTTTGGAACGAATAACATCGAAATATGTAGGGTAAAAGTAAGGGAAATCGGGGCAAGTTGATACGTTTTTCAGTTTTCAACTTTTCTAAATTTTATTTGAATTACCAACCTAATAAAATTATTCTTAAGTATATTTTGATCCTTTATTTTTGATCCCCTCGATCTTGATAGATGGATGCACCTTATAAAATCATTCGTAATTCTTTAATAATAATTGAGAAAGCTATTATATGTTTTGCTTCAGTAGTTTAGTTTAGTATGATATGATCCAAAATAAAAAATGAAAAAAATACACTACAAAATAAGTTTGAAAATATTTGAGTGACAAAGACACAACGTATCAATTTGCCCTAATGTGTGCCCTCTGCATATGCTCCATATATGCCTAAAGTTTCAGAATTTTAAGAACTTCCGGTTTGGAGATCATCCCTTGTTAGGAAAGTATTAGGTAGATGCGTATGAAATTTCGTATTTTGTGTATTTCCATATTTCAATTTGTTGTCGTGTATAAATTAATTCGCTCAAGACGACGAAATTACGTGAAATTATATCCACTAATTATTAGGCAAACAATTACCAAGCCAACAAGTTTCCCCTGCTTGTTGAAGCAAATATATCGCTGGCTCTTTTCCGCAAAGATGTATAATTTCCTACTGAAATCTTCGGACTGCGTCGTAAGTTTCTCTGAAACATAAACAGGAAAGAAACTCAATTATCAAATTGAACAAATAAATATTATTTTTTATTCTTGATATTATGTCCCACCAAGGTCTTAGTTATGTGCAATAAAAAACGTCAATCTTTTGGACAAGGAATATCTTAGAAAAAATAAATTGAAGACGACTTGAAATCGAATGGAACCTTTCAAAGACAGCCATTTGTTCGATGGATTGGAAAATTCACACTTTCGATTGTCCGAAAAAGTTGAAAAAAGAAACATTATCAGCCACGTTACATAGAAAAATGATTAAACTTGGGAAACAATTTCAAGTTGAAATTTTAAAAGGCTTCTTTTGACACCTTTGGTAGAAATAGCGTTAAAAATTATAATTCTATATCAATTGAGAATCTCGTGATTAGCAGAGAAGTCGATTATAGGGTGAAAATAATGTGATTTGGGAAAGTATTCAGAGACATCGGTTGTCGGGGATGTATGACAGAATGCAGTAGGCAAACCGTTTTGTGGTTCAGTATGCGAGTTGGCATATTTCCGAGAACAGATCTCGTCGCAGTTTATGGCGTGAGTTGTACCTACATCGATGTTCGGAGGCCCTCTTCCAGGCACTGTTCGGCACCGAGAAAAGAAGAAAAGGTTGGTTAAGCCTACCGCCGGGGCTAGTTGGTGCTAATGAAGGTGGCACAGACCGACCGGTGTGTACTTTTCCACTTAGCGGATCCTGTCATGCCTCGACCCCAAAGTGCACGTTGCGCTATGTTCAATGCAACGGCGTGTCCCTCTTTTTCTTTCACACCCGCTATTACGAAATTCTGCTGACCCGACGAGCAGGCGTCCTTTGTTCCGGATAACGAGAATAAAGGGCTAGGTGTACAGATGCACCACCCAAAGTGACCGTGCTCTCCACACGCGGGAAACCATTTCCTACTTTTCACGCGAAACGCACTTGCCATTCGTTTATTTCATTTTAGATCCGGTTGCACGACTCTTTTTTTATCGAACTGTTCTATGGGATGATTCGGAACATTCTTCGCGTTGTTTGAAAGCATTTACAGTTACTATTCTTATTAGTACTTTTCATTTATTTTTGTCGTATGTTGTTCAAGCAGTTTTATTTTTCATTCGTTTAAAAAACAGAAAAGAGTATATAAGAAAGAATAATATATATGTTTTAAAGGTTTTTATTCTTTTATTCAAAAGTAAATATCAAATCAAATATAATTTTACACTATAATAATGCAGAAGATGCACACAGATAAATTATCAAAAGAATATATACAAAGGAAAAGTAATAGATGGTCAATGGCAATTTTTTCCATCTATCAGATACGATATTAATGTCTATAAACTTTGGGTATTGACAAATCTAGAACATCGTTTAGATAGAATAATTTTTTAAGGGATAACTAAACTACTTTTAGATTCTATTCTGAATTTAGTGAGATCAAACCAGGACGATGACGGAAGAAATAAAACCAAACATTTATATTTCAGTATGATGTAATTCGAACAATTTACTTACACGTATGTTTAACGTCATTTACAGTGACAAGACTTTTCACTTTGCAATTAAAACAATCAATTCTGAATCTGAAATATTAAAATAAATTCGAGTTGATGAACGTGGTTACGAGAATAAGTGCCAAGATTTTAATTTACGCAGTTTCCAATAGTCTAGAAGCAAAGTTTCGTTTTCGCGGGCAATTTGAGGGGTTCGGTCTGGGCAGTGAACGCGTTAATGTTTCGACCCCGGGTTCCACGAAGGCTAAACGTTCTCATAGCGTAGAAACACGGACGGGAGTAACGGTATTTAATTTGCGTAGCGTCGAAAAGTCGGGAGGAAATAATTAATTTTCGTCTGCGTTACAAAATAACGTTCCTTAATTGATAGATGCTCGAGGGTAAAAGGTACGATGTCGCGATTGTGAGTTTTTCTTCGTTCGTTTGCGAGCGACACGAGTGTGGGTATAAGCGTCACGCGTAGAGAAAAGGAAGGAGGTAAGTCTGCAGGGTGGCCCATTTGCTGGAGCCTCGTTAAATTCAAGTGGTTCTCGTCGGGTGCCTTCCCAACATCGAAATCAAGAATGTCCCCGAACTGCCTCGTAAAGTCCCTCTTTTTCCCTCTTAGTTGCTCTCTCCTTCCCTCCTTCGTTTTCCTTTTACGTTTCTTTTTCTATCGCGGCCTGCTACCAGCCTTCAGGAACGAGAAAAAGCAAGAAAGGACTTAATCTGAGACTGTTTTCTGACAAACCTGCCATAGTCTATAGTCCGCGCCAATTAATTGCGGCACTTTCCTTAATTAATTGGATTCACCTTTCGCCGGATGTCTATCGTAATGGCATCATCCACGGTCAAGTGGGCCAGTTTCTTCTTGTTTTTTTCTGCCACTAAATACATCTTACTCCCGGAGTTGCGATAATTGATCGTTCCGCGATTGGAATCGATACGTTTTATACGAAATAACTTTTGTATTATTTGTCATAGCAAAAGAAAAACGTTTCGAAGAAATGTTGCATGATATTACAAGGCACGGTACAGGTTTCACTCCTCAAATTAACCCTTTTACAGTCATATTCACCTTTTTACGTTATAATTTAATCTGTTTCCAGACAAACTTGTTTTCTTAAGTTATTCTAAACTTAATATTTTATTGCGTGTATCTAATAATTTGTAAATATAAAATGATATTAAATTAACTTAAAATACTTATTTAATAATGTAAGTATAAATTCTCATCAATTATCACATAAGTAATTAGAAATAAAATCATAAAAAACGACAAAATTCTATTGCATTACATCACTTTCGAATTACCCAGGTTATTTTAATTTGCAAAATGGCGAATTTGATTTGCAAGATAATTATGATCTGTAAAAGAGTTAATTAGTTTTCTGTCATTTAAATATTTTCTCGCGGTCAACATAAACTTTCTAAACACAGTGAGTACGATTCGTCTTATATTAGGAAACAGACTGACAACGAGCGAACAGTTAATGAAAAATGATTTCTGAAAAGTAAATTTAATCCAGAGAAAAGATCGAAAATTCGTCGAGTAAATATACATATAGAATAAAAAATTTATTTTCGTGCAAACAGAGTTCGAATATTGCCCAAATTTTTACAACGAACTTTCCGAACAATCTGAATAATTTGACGAAGATTGTCGAGCGAATACGGAACCGTAATGAGCGTTATCGATGACAAAGTCCCGATATCAGTCAGAAATATGGGGGAACAAGTTCGAAACTATCGCCAGAAATTTCCTTCTTCCGGTTCGGAACGTCCGCTTTTCAATATGAAACACGACGTACCTGCGAAGAGCGTCGACGAAAGAAAGTACGACGATAACAAACCGAAACTAATACCAGTGGCTCGAAAGATGATACGTGCACGTTATTTGTTTGTTCCAGTTACCCATTACCGAACTCCTATACTTCCGATACCTAGTCGCCGTCGAAGCAATCGCGACGAAACTTCGACTGTTCCGTTTGAAACGACGGTTATCGTTATCAAGTAAGGGGAAGGGTGGTTCGTGCATAGAAGTCTGGACGACGACAAGTACGGTATTAGATATTAGGTCGTTCCGTAAGTTCGTGCCATTTGTCCTTTTCGGACTGTTGGAAAGGAATAGCAGAGTACGCGGGCCAGTTTGAACTTTGGGTAATCACGTATTTAATAACCTTTTACTGTGTCTTACAATAGACCGACGATCGTTACAGTAATAGATGAGAAAAAGAGGCTACTAATAAATTGATGGCGTCGTTGCTCTCTTATCGAGCCTACACAGGCTGCAGTAATGATTCTTAAAATGAACGCAAACACAGATGTTTACACAGTGATGTCATTGTCGTTTATTCAAAGGAAAAATTTATGAATTACATAACATTGAAACAACTTTGTTGTGATTATTTATTTTAATTTAGCCAGAATTTAATGCATCGTATGGTATTATATTATCAAATTTTTAAATAATTTTTAAATAATTTTAAAGAATATCTAAAGTTAATAAGCTGTCTTTAAATGCTGGTTGGCAGGACCTGACGAAGAAACCGAGCGTGTCGGCGGCTTTTCACAAAGCATTGTCTTTCACGGTGGGCTCTGAGGGAGATCCCCCCCCAAGTTGGGAAAGATAGAAATGTTCAACTAACGAATCCTGGGGTTCTTTTTAAGAATTATTACAGCAACGAGAGAATTTGTGATTTGGTAGAAGAGAAAGTCCTAAAATGAATATCACCCATTTTGTGTATCTCAATACTTCTTGGTAGATAAAAAGTTCGAATTAAAGTATTAGAATATTGAACATTCTAGTGAAAAATTAAAGAAAATTTATAATGTCTGTTTAGATAATAGTTTCCAAGGAAAAAGTGGGAAACGGGTTTTCAATTTCTAATAAAAAATTCGACACGAACTTATGGGATCACTTAATTAGGACATTTAACCGAAAAGCTAACAATATTTTGAACTGTTGTAGCTTTATAAAATCATTTTAAAGACAGAACCCTATACTTCCATGACCCTAACACGTTTTGTTACGACAAACTTTCTTGCAACTTGCTGACAAGCTACTACGTAATTGAAAAGTGATATTATTCCTCAGACTTCACGATAACGGATTCATGACGGAATAGTAAAAGTATACCAAGTATAAACGACTGTTACTGTAAAAACTATGACAGACTAATCGTTGGTTGTATAATGTCATTAAAGTGTAATTTCATTACAGTTGCCACGATACAATTACATGTAATTACACGTTGATTGCATAGTTTTCAAACGCTGTGTAGATTTATTTATTTATTCAAGTCGTGAGTATCGAGATTACGTCAATACATATTTCTCTCGTAATACACATCAGAAACTGCTAATATTGAAAACGTTTGCAAGTTTTTTTAGCAATTTCTTAGTTACTGCTTCCACCATCTAGTTCAATTTTATATTCATCACATTTCTTTTAAAATGAAGATTAGAATTATATTTTTCTGATATTACGTTTAATCGTAACATAATT